TTTCTTTTCTTTTCTTTTCTTTTCTTTTCTTTTCTTTTCTTTTCTTTTCTTTTCTTTTCTTTTCTTTTCTTTTCTTTTCTTTTCTTTTCTTTTCTCATTTCGCTTTCCTCCCTCCTCCTCCCCCCCTTTTTTTTCCCGTTTTCATTTTTTTCCCATTTCCATTTTTTCCCCTTTCCCTTCAACCATTTCATGGCCATAGGAGCAACAAGCTGCTGTGCACCTGTAGTTCTGGGAAATTATTCCTCTTTCTTAAATCACTTAAACAGAGACATTTGCTTAGGTGCAGCCAATATTTTTTTTTTCCTTTAAGCCGTAACCATCCATAGTGGTACAGCTAATCCACTTAATTCTTTATATGCAATGTATCTGAGATGTGCACAGTTTAAGAAATTGCTCTTTTATCCTGGATGAGGCCTTCCACCGCCCCCCCCTTTTTTCTTTCTTTCTGGAACAAAGAAGCAATAAACAAATGTGTGAATGAAACCTGGACTGTACCTACTACTGACTGTTCCTAGATTTCTGCATTTAAAAAAATCTTTAGTGCCAATTGGCACTGCTTTTTTACCAAAAGATAAAACTCTGAGAAACAGAAAGATACAGTATCCTTGTTACGACATCTTGGARATACAGAAAACATTTCTGAATGTTTATGTATCCACTGTGCTCTCGAGACACAATGTCCCATTTCTGCAAGTAAAATCTATAGCAAGGAGTTTCCATCCTATTTTAAGCAATGTAATGTCAACACAGATACATGTTTCTGTGTCATTTGCACAATCTGAGTACCTCCAATAGTCATATGTATTTATCTATATATATACCTCTCTATATAATATAGTAGTATATATATTACCCAGGGTTTGTGATATATATATATATATTTATAATTTACATTTTATGTAAGTGTATAAAAAAAGTGAGAAAAGGTTAATGTGATTTTCCACTTATTCCACGTAAGTTCCATCCAGAGATGAGCAGTATCAGAACTGAGATTAATGAGGGATTTTAGTTGATACTGCAAGAAGTTTCTCTACTTGTCTTTTAGCCAATGTGTGGTTTTGGAATGCTGCAACTGCTATCTATTAATAAGTTAAGAATAGAAATACATATTGRTTACAGACAGGCCTAATTTTTCTCTCCAGAGTAGAAAATGTGCAATAATTTATATAACCTTATTTTTGAGGCCTAGTAACGTAGACCCAACTCTGTGACACTTTTTGTAGCACAGAAGATTTATGCCCAGGTACAATTCATTCATTCTACTTTTTCTGCATTGTAATAACTAGCAATTTTATACATTTTCAAGTTTTAAGGATTTGCAATTTTACTTCTGAGAGAAACAGTSTATAAAAACTTAGGTATACAAAGTAAAAGGAAAAAAAACCACATTCATTTTAAAACTTCTGTTATATTCAAAATAGTTACAGTTACAAAGATACTAACTGAAAGTAATAAAAACATCCAGTATATCTGTATAATGATAAAAATGATCAGGAGAGCACAGAGTGTGGCCAGTTTGGTGTCCACCGAAGATGTGCTTGCAAAGCTTGTGAAAGCACCTGTAGCTGTTTGGCAATGTCTTTTTGCTGCTCTTTGACTTTAAATATTTGATTTGAAAAGATCCTGACCACCTTAAAACAGCGGGGTTTTTTTTTAATTTTTTTTTTTTTTAAATGAAAAGTCTTCCCGTTTTTCCCACCAGGTGGCACTCGCCTATAAGTATTTCTCTTGAAAAGTCTTTCACAGGTCACGGCCCAGGTTTTCAAACTACATTCTATGAAAATGCTTGTGCTTTAATACTGTTCTCAGTGCTTCTATGGTTAGGCCAAGGTTAGGACAAGTATTTTGAAGTTTTCCTGCCCCTGTATAATATCCAGGCAAGTGTTAAAGTGGCATCCCTCCACAATTGTCCACTTTTCCTCCAGTTGCTAATGTGCTGCTGTAAATAGGTGTATAAAGCATCTGCACTAAAAGGGAACTAATGAACCAGTCTGTAAAAGAACAATTAAAACTACAAGCAACACATTTGGTTCCTAAGGAATGTGTTACGGTGCTGTGCACTATGAGTATAGCCTTGGAAGTGCTTACAGTTGTGTGTGTGAGTAGCACATGTGAGTTTCATTCTATTATTCAAGATAAGAAAGCCTGTCTACATGCATTTTTAGGACTAGAGGCAAAACTCAAATCATGTTTTGTCTAGATCAAGAGCCAGCTTATACTTTTTGTGTGTCCTAAATATTCTATATATTTGTATGTACTATATTAGAATTCTAAAACTTTGAGGTTTTTCCCTCCAAATCTTACTTAAAGGGATCAAAATCTAAAAAAAAAAAAAAAAAAAGTGTAGACCAAAGTAAACCACCAGGAGGAGCTAATAGATCATCATATTTTACTCTACATTGCAAGAATAGTTTTTTTTTTTTTTTTTTTTTTTTTTTTTTTAAGTGAGGAACTCCTTCAGGAGTTGTTAAAATTTCAATTGAAACAGCAGAGGGCACTTAGGCCCATGGAATGGGATAAAAGTCTGGTGATGATGCAGTTAAATACAAGACCCTCCAAAGTACCCTTCCAATAAGCTAAAACCAAAATATTTTGTCTAAAATTCATCAGAGAAAAAATCACTTCAAGTTTGCAGTGGTATTTTCCCATTACTGCTGTTGATTACAGAAATCTTCACCTGCAATCAACACTTACAAGCCCTTTTTTACTACYTATTGAGCAGTAAGTGCGGTTTGGCTTTGTAGAGAGGAAGGAAATTCCCTGTAGTTTAGGATGAATGAATGTACCCAGCAAGATTTGCTGTCAAGGCTGTTCAACGGGGATGTCTTCTGTGATCTATGACTTCATAGTTTACTTTTTTCCAGTATTGTTTTTTGATGTTATTAACACTTGATTTTTATTAAGCGGTGTAATGTGAGATCACAACCTGGGATAAGAGGAAAAATATCTCTAGTTTTGTCCAGCTCTTTTGATAATTAGATTATCATGAAAAACAAAACTGTTCAATTTAATATCTAGCAGATTTTTTTTTTTTTTTGAGGGGGAGGAGGGGCATCATGCGCTTCCACATGATCATCACTTTCCCCACATTTCTCCTTTTCCGTTATCTAAAAATCAACGTTGCTGGGCAAATTACCACAGAATTTTTGGGAATACCCRATTTTACTTGCGAATAGCCTGCATAAGGACTGCATGCACTCAAAATGAAATGCTACCAATTCTTTCTGCTTTCCATTAGTAAACATTCAGCAAAGTTGGATTCAAAAC